AGCCATTAGAGCTGATGTGTTTATAACATTAAAGATGTGGGTTGCCTGAAGGCTTCTTTGCTAAAATCAACCCTAAAGAAAGACCAGCTGTTGCTATAAAAACTACTTTATGTAGCAATTATATTTCATCATGTCTTTACTGATGGGCTAGTATGGTTTCTTGCTTATCTAATTAGCTGTAAGGGATCTTTTAATATTGCCACCTCTCCCCATATATTCCTCAATTGAATCTTGTAAATGTGACAAAAATTATTGCTGAATATGGTTTAAGGTTAAGGAAGACATTTTTTTCTTTTTAATTTTACTGTGTATATCATACAGACATTTTCCACAAATTTTGATTTGTCTATGTAACATAGTAATTTTTATATCATCCTAGTACTAAATGGAAAGCATCTCTCTATCCTTCAAGACTAAAGTGCATTTATAAATGGCTTAAGTAGAAATAAAACTCAAGGTACAGGATCGGGGGAGGATACATGGATTTTTATGTTAGGAAAAAATTTATAAAGGGTTACAATGTACAAAATGGAATAGACTCATTCTATGTGGCTCAAGAAGGCAAAATAACTGGTAGAAGTAGTAGTGCCACAAATTTGGATTCAATTTAAGGAAACACTTAAGAAAAACAATTAGAGCTATTCAACAATGACTGAATGATGAGTTCCCTTTACCAGAAGTATTCAAGCAGGAGCTTCCTATAGTCTGGGATAGCATAGGAACAAATCTTGCACTAGAAAATATATAATAGGTTCTCCTTTCCAACTTTCTCATTCTAACATAGAATTTATTATTGGAAATTGAAGAAAGAAATTGAGAAAATGGTAAAAGAAAAAAAAACAAAAAGAAAAACAAAAACCTTATAGATTCTTGAAATCCACTTAGCTGATGAAAACTTTTTTGTGCTCTTTGAGACCAGGTTCGAGTGTATTGAATAAAATGAGATGTATATTTCCATTTTAATTTTAACCACATGAGAACTATAAGAAACAATGGAAAGACTTGTTAAAACACTAAGAAACTTTCCAATAAACTGGTCATCATTAAGATCTGACAAACATCTGGCCATTTAGGGAAAGAAATGTAGTATAATATTTTGCTATTCTGTAGCAAAGAGATTTTGACAAATGGTTTACTTCATATAACTTTATTACTGCATTTTGGATACCAAGCATTATGCTTTCATAATAAAGGATTTGTCAGATCCACTGAACCATGCCGATGCTCTTATAATGCTATTGAGAAGAACTAAGGACCCTTATACTTGAAATATAACTTTATGTTTCCATTTTGAAATTATCCTTTTGACTTCCTGGGTCAAATTGACATAGGACAATCCATCACTCTAATATCCCATGACAACAAATGCAGACCCTTTTAAGGGGAAAGTCTTAGCTTGTCACTAGAGAGTTCTAACTCCTTTGCCCACTCTCAGAATGTAAAATGTCCTCCACTAGTCTCTGGGAGAAGTTTTGCTGCCCTACACACTTCCACAACCTTAGGGAACCATAACTTCCATATTAGCTTTTAGCCTTCTCTGGAATTGATGCCTCTGTTTAACATACAAAATATAGAACAGAACAGTATCGATGTACCTAAAATTTAAAGATATTAAGGTGGAAAAGATTTGGGTAATTTTATAAGTGGACCCTTCCAACTTTAAAATTCTAAAATTTATGGCTTTTCAAAAAGCAGTCCTTAAGATTTTGGCAAGGTTAGTGACTAAAAAGATCAGACAGTCTTGAGAGTAAGATGGAATTTTCTCCCTCCTTTCCTTACCCTTTGCAATACTAACAAAAAGAAAACAAAACACACACACACACACACACACACACACATACACACACACACACACACACACACAAAACCCAACTGTAATTGAGAAGGTCCTCTCTCAAAAAGGTGTGAATGGGATTTAGTATTAATGTCAATTTGCTCTTATCTGTTAGAAGCCTGATTTGTACCTTCAAATGTATTATTACCTATGGGGTCTTTGGAGATTTTATATTCTATTTGTAGCCACACTGTTTCTCTTTGTACTAAAGGCAGTCATTGCCTGTGAAGGCCAGTAGAACTGATCATATGATCAATATGTTCAATAGAACTCTCTAGTGATAATTGTGACTGTATCTCACAAATTTCTCACATGTGCAAAAGTTATTTTTTGTACTTAACATTAGAACTATGTAGTAAATGTATTTATTTGGTTAATACTGTTCCAATGAGCCAACATTACTGTGGTATTACACTGAGTGCCTGGCTTCCAAGGAAACGCATTGAATATCTGGGGACAATTTTTGGCACTCAGAAGAATGCTTATTGAATTAGTTGGGAGATTCAAAACATAGAGTGTGGTTGTTATCATTAGCATCCTTAACTCTGTTCTCTATGGCTATTTATGTTTAGCACTAATGCCACAGAAAACTGGGATAATAGTGATATCCTTTCTAGCTCTAACACTGCATCAATCAATGAGTCTATAGCACTATCCAAAGAATTTCACCATCATTGTGCTTTGTGTTGGCTTGTATAGACCATGGTATTGAGGTCATTTTTTCATATTGGGTCCATTTTTAAATTACATTGAAATTCTCTGAGTTTTGGCTGCTGTAACTTTTGACCTGAACCAGATTACCTTGAGAAACTCAGGAAATGTGTGGTGATTATTTATTGTAAAATTTATTGACAGCTCTATTTACTAAAAGCATTGCTAAGGTTTCTGAAAGCCCACAGTTTAGGCAGTAACATAATCTGGTGAAATGCATATATCCCAAATTAAGAAGCAAGCTGTGATTTCTATCTTCAAAATTAGTGAATATGACTAAAAGGACAAGCTTGGGAACATAAACAAATTTGCTTAGTAAAATTAGACATGCTTTAACTTGCCAACAAAATCCCTGACTCATCCCCTCAGTGCACTGTCATATTTAGTTTATTTCTATACACGTATTTCTGTTCTATGCGTGTTAGTTTTGGCTGCCCTCTCAGCTCCTTGAAGGTGGGTACCACTGTTCTTTTAAATATATTCCCGAAGCACTTTGTACTTTACATTTATTGACTGACATTCTTAAAATAGGTGCCAGGTCTGTGGACCTATTAATTTTTTTTTCTAGCTGAAGCGGATGAAAAATTTAGAAAGCAAATGTTAATATTTGTACTGTGACATATAAGAAACATATTTTAGAAGTTAGAAACAATAAATATTAATTCCGTGGCTGGGAAATGATTGCTTTCAAGGCTAACATCTTTTTTTTAATATAACAAAAGGATACTTAATGAGTTTTCCTCCAATTTAAGATTACCTCTCTAATTTATTTCATAATCCATTTCTATTCTATTAAATAAGAGGTTCTTTATATTTTTGGGGTTAAGACCCTTTTGACACTCTAGTAAAATCTTATGGATCTCTTCTAAGAAGAATGTTTTTACACAATTAAAAGAAAATGCTAAATTTCATTAAAAGTTAGTGAAAGCAACGATGTATTTTTTTTCATCCAAGTTCCCAAACCCTCTGGAATCTAAATGGTGTCTGTAAACCCCAGATTATGAGTCTCTGTGTTATACAGAATAAAGGTTTTGTGGGTACAGGTGAATTTCAAGGAGTTGGGTATTCCGTTGACAGACCTAAATGGCTAGTAGTCTTGAACAGATCAGGTTAGGGAAAGAGCAGTTGATGTCAGGCAAAGGGTATATGTCAAATGGGAAAAGGCTGGGGGAATTGAACAGTGGGGACATAGAAGATAGATAGTCTCTAATCCATAAGAAAGTGATAATAAGAGGACAACTCAATTCTGGGACAGGAAAGCTGAAAAGGGGAGAGGAAATTGAGAGGGGAAAGATGGAGAAGTGAGAGGGATGTATTTTTCTTTTTCAAGAAAAAGGTAGCTATACAGAGATGACTTTTTCTCCTAAGAAGAAAAACTACTTGTAGATAGCAAAGGTTAATATAGCAACTGCCATTTAAATCGGCCTGTCAGTTTTAATTATGTCTTTTCTCTTTCCTGAAGTCTTCTCTAAGAATATAAATAGCTGTAGGAGATTAGGACTGGACCTCTGATTTCAATGGTATAAGGATCCTGCCTGAGGAAATGCAAGTCAACACCATTTCAGCTACTTAGAGTCAGAGAGTTACCTATAGTGTTGAGACATTAAATGACTTGGCCAGGGTCACATAGCCAGCACGCTGTCAGAGGTGAGAGTTGGACCCAGGTCTTCCTAGTTTTGAGTCCAGCTCTTCATTACTTATACTACATTGCTCCGTGAATCTTAATGTATTTTAGAATGATGAAGATTCAATGACCCAAACTGTGTAGCCATGTTGTAAAAAAATGGACATACCCACAAATGGGATCCTGAGAATTCTATACTTGAGTTTACTGAAAAGTTTATGAAGTGAATAGGTAGAATTGAAAAGGAAATTATGGATTTGGAACTTATTAAGAATTGGGTGCATTGAGAACTTGCCACTGTGATCATGTACATCTAACACTTGGATGGACAAATAATTGAACTAAAAAAATGAGATGTGGAATGAGAATCTGGGGACATATTTACAAACATCTGGTGGTCCTGAAAAAGGTCTTTTAGGATCAGTGCTCAAGTGTTTTTTTGAGGATTAGGGGAATAAGGTGATCCTATATCCTAGGCTGACAAGAAACTCAAGAATCTAGGGATGGTAAGCTAGTATATGTTCATGTTTTTGCTTATATCTTAGTATACATACATACATATATATATATATATATATATATATACACACACATACACACACATATATGTATATACATATATGTGTGTATATCTTAGTATACATACATACATATATATATATACACACATACACACACATATATGTATATACATATATGTGTATGTGCGTGTGTGACATATTTTAGATATATGGACTGTATGTGTATGTACATAAACATATATGCTGTATATAAATACATGCTATATACACATACACTAAATATAAATATAGATTGTAGATGTAGGATTAAAGTCATATGGTTGAGTGTCTGGTTAGCTTCTTACCTCCTCATGATGTTTTCTGGAGAGTTCATTTCTATCAATATATTGAATCACAATAGCCATAGTTTTCATAAATTTCATCATCCAAAATACTGATTGATATGTGAAAGGCTTATTTAGTCAGATCTTTCCTTTTAGGTTAAATGCAATTATATTTGATCATTTAAGAAAAAGATCTGGCGAAAGTTAATGAGTTTTAAAAATATATATTTTTTTACATCCAAGTGCAATTTTCTCATTTGACAGTATAGTCAGTAATGTGTATATTGGAGTAACTTCTTGTTACTTTTAGAGGAAAAAATATGTACGTGATGATACAAAAATAAGTATGAACAAGATTTAAAACTACTCTTGCTTGAACTTGTTTAAGAGCAATTATTTCACTAGAGTCATTTATGCTGCATCCTTTAATATAGAAACAGCTGATATCTGGAGTAGATTTTAGGAGCTGAAACGCAACATGACTATGTATATCCACATTCTATATGCTTAACACATATTTGTTTGCTTGGGGATAAGACAATGTATATAACTAATTAGTGGGAAGTATTGATATATAATATGCTAAAGGACAGAAGAATTGCATACAAACTGTTTTTCAGCAACACTTTGGAATAGCCATCTTTTTCACTCCCCCTCCAACTAAACCTTAAACACACACACACACACACACACCCCATTCTCTAGGCTCTCATTTTCGGTAAAATACGTTGCCAAGGTTTGGTTCACATGAACTGGGCTGCTAGCAACGCAGCATATGTTTGCCTCAAACACTCTTTTGCTTTTGGATACACACTTCTCAAAAATAAGGAAAGTTTATAGTAACAAGCTGTTTTAGCTGCAGTGTTTGTCTATAATGTCAAGATAACAAGCAACTTGTGTTCTAACTACGTCTCATGAGAAATCTGAGCAGTGAAAGTGGCCATGCTAAAAAAAGAGGATTATTAAAAGTGATATATAATTAGAACATAGTGCAATTAATTGCTGAAAAGGCCAAGGCACAGCAACTGCTATGACCCTTTAAATTGAGAAACATCTTTAGCTTTAAATGGCAGTTCTAGCTTTCAGTTTGGCAGTGTATAAAGATCAGAACATCAGACTGCCAGATTTTGAGTTCAAGAAAGGGCTTTTACTAGATTTTCTACCTTGGTCTCAACTCTCCCAATGCAGAAATGATTCTTTGGCAGTAACTTGCCCTCTGGTGTCCCATTGGATACATGTGTGTGGTAATTAGTTGAAATTGTTTGTATTGCTTTTATAAAAACAGTACTTACTCAAGAAAATTTAATAGAGGAGCCAGTCAAATTAAACCAGAATCTTCAACACTATTTCATTTGTACTGTCAACGTGGAATTTGGGTGGTTAGATTTGGGACTTTTGATGTGCTACAAACAGTGTCAACTGATAATTGCAGTTATTCTGTCACAGTAAAACTTCTGTTTTGGGTTCAAACAGCTCTAAGGAGCAATCAAATAATTGGAACCAAAATGTTGAATTCCATTTTAATCTGAAGACATTGTGAAGACTCTGAGGGAAGTATCTTGTGCATTGGAATAATTGTGCTCAACATTTATCATATTCCTCAAATTTGTAAAAGTAAAACAATAATTATATGCTTTTGGGGAAAGAGACTCAATCCTGCAGCATATTTATACAACAAACTGCACTGTCCTTTTAAACTTGATTTGTTTTAAAAACTTATATAAATCTCATAGAAAAATGTGTTCCAACATTCATCTATAATTCCATCGCAATTTCACCAAATCAATTTCTAGCCTCAATTTTTAAATACTTTTCTTTTACCTTTTCAGCCCCCATGCTATATTCTGAACACTGAACACTGAATGTTTCATTATAAGCTACAATAAAAATTATTAACCAAAATCACATGAATAAAATTAAATACCTATCAAAGTCTAAAAAAACTCCCTTACATTTATCAAACATTGTTTGGGAATAATTAAAAATACACAGGCATAACAATTCTTTAAAAACAATGTGTTCCTATTGAACAGACTATAATTCAAAGAGAATAATAAGGGCTAAGAAGGGGGTTGTATTGGCTGGCCTCCTGGACCATTTATATTAGTTAGCAAGAGAGATGACTTGGTTATGAAAAATTTCATAACACTAAATTATTTTTTCAAAAAATTGAATATTTTCTGTATTAGAAAATTTGTTCATCTCCTTCAGAGCTATTAGATGTGTCGAGACAACACTCAAATCAAAATTTGTCTGATATAAGCAATGATTTAAGTGGCAGTTAGACACAATCTAAGAAAATAGCTTTTAGGGATAAACTATTTGTTACTACTGTCTATCTTTTTTTTTTATAAAAAGAATTCTAAGTAGATACTGCTTATATGGGACTCAGCTGGGGTGTTTTAAAGCAACTTTAATAGGAAATAACACTGAATTAAAAAAAAATAAGAACTCCAAAAAGTGGTGGATGTTACTACCACTATGTAATAAGTTGTACCATAAAACACATTGGCAGTAAAGCTTTAATATATAATGATGTGATTTACTATGACAAAATTGGTCACTTTTGATTAGTACGAAATAGAAAGTTTATCACAGCATTTACTCATCTTCATTCATCTGTCTGATTATGACTCTGCATAGCAAGTCAAAATAGAACCTCTTTTCCACATGTCTTTTAAAAACACCTGTGCAGGCAAATGTGCGTGTACACATACATATACACACACAACATATATAACAGAGATTTCTCCTGCTAAATGGAGCAGCTAAGCCTCGATGCCTCTGTGGACCTAGTCTTGCTGCTGATGAATATCCTCATGCCTAAGAATTTTGTAGATAACCCAATAAAATATGTTGAAAATCAAAAAAGCTAATGGGAAGCAGGCTCGGGAAATGGTGTCAATCTTTTTGGCTCTGTCGATGAATACCTTCCTCATTTCATCGGAGTTTTTTGGTGTGATCTGGACAGGATTGTTCGGCCCTTTGGGGGCAATGCCATCTTTTGCTTGCAGACACGGTCCCATTCCATAAGCTGTAAAACTGAACCGACTTTCCCTTACCTCATCATCCTGTCACAAGAGAAACAAAAAAGAATTTATATGTAATAAAATGATTTTCAGAGAGAAATGACCTGTGATGTTGTGGTATGTTTGAACTTTGATTTGGATGTATCTGTTTCTACATAGCTATAGATATACACATATCTATCTACCTATTGATAAATATATGTGTATACATACGTATATATGGACCGGACCTGTGATTTCACTGGGAGAAGGAACTTCCTCTACCAATACAGATTGTCACCTTCTCTGAAATTTATAATCACAGAGAGTTTTCTAGAGTGGAGAGAGGTTAAATGACTTGCCCAGGATCACATAGCTAGTATGTATCAGAAGTAAAAGTTGAACCAAATTCATCTGTCTCTATTCACTATGCCATACTGCTTTTCATATGTACACACAATTTAAAATATGTAAATATATATTACACATCACATATGCCATATATGTATATATTTATATATGTGTCTTCATGTGTGTGTGTGTGTATATGTGTGTGTGTGTGTGTGTGTGTGTGTGTGTGTGTGTGTATTTATGCAACTCTACCACATCTGAATATAAAAGCAGTATGGCCTATTGGATGGAGTGCTGGGTTTAGAATCAGGAAGAACCGGATTTAAATCTTTATTTAATACCTTTGAGGTTGATTACCTGTGTGACACTGGAAAAATCATTGAACTTTTATGTGCCCCAGCAATTTCTCAGAGACTTAGCTACTAAACCATATGGCAATGATGATCTATGTCAGGGGAAGTTATTCCCATACCAGGAATTCCCCAACCTAAAAAAAAAAAATACAAATCTTTTCTTTACTTATATATAACATGAAAAAATTATGATTATAATTGAGTTTTAATGTTAAAAGGCAGTTTTTTCCTGCTATTTAATTTGCTACTTCTGTCTTATACTGCTATTAAGCATAAACTGCCAATATGTTAAAATATAGTAAAAATGTAACAGATTTTTTAAAAAAAAAGTATTTTGGAAGGAAAGTCTATAGTGGTATCCCAATGACTATAAAACTCTCCAGATGAAAAATGATTTATTCATTTCTCTATATGACTTTATACCCGTGCATGCTGATAGGCACATTCTTAAATAATGAAAGTATAGCGTCCCATGACACTATGTCAAGAGGCCTGATGAATATTTGCACTTTTTTTGTTTAGATAAACCTCATCTTTATGTTTTTTTTTTACCCAAAGATTTAATGGATTTGTTGGCCAAAGAAATCTTATTGGATATTTTGGGGAAAGCTTATTTTAATCTTCATGTGTTTTACTTTTCTATTTACTCTGACTCTATGTGTTCCTAACTCCTGTTGTTTGGCAAATGAAGAATATAGGCTATGTAGTACCATGCACAAAGTTAGATATTTAATAAATGTCTTTGAAAAGAATGGTTTGAAATCTAAACTTATGATTGGGTCAGCTACTTTCCAAGCACTCTGGTTTTGAGACTTAAAAAAAAACAAACCAGGAGACAATAATCCCTATATTTAATTCAACTTCAGTATTTCTTAAATTTTTTAATAATTCTAAATTGTTAGAAAAAAACCTTGCTTTCCCTCTAAAAAACAGCAACTTGCTGAAAATAAGCAGCAGTTGAAAAAATGCTCATCTTTAAAATGCAAATGGAGAAATAATTTCACAATAATTTATAACATAAAATAATTTAACAATAATAAATAATAATTTAAATAGTCACTAAATTTGGCAAGTGGAATATCCTTATGAAGTCTCTATTTCTCTACAAGTCATTAATTGATAAATTTTCAAAACAGGTACATAATTAGCCTAAAATATGGTGGTAAATTCATGGAGGTCATAATTTATTAGAGTTGTTTAAAATATGTAACACTTCATCAAGAGTGTTTTCTTGCTACTGACAGTTGAAAGCATATAAGATGCCACCTGTGGCTTTGCAGGTTTTTATTCCTCTGCATTTAAAAGTGTGTTGGTGGGGAAAGACAACAGGTTTTGAATTAGAATCATAGGCAAAGGTAGAACAATTAAGCACAAAAATAAAAGATAAATGACTAAGAAAATTTTAATCATTTCATGAGCTGATATTGGAAATCTCAATGAGAATAAGATTGAGGCCAAGAGAAATGCTGTGATCAAATTAATTTTTTTTTAGTAATTATATTATGCATGTTAATTTGACTTGAGAGAGTACAGTGTATCTATTTTGGGAAAAAGTAATACTATACAATTTATAGGCAATCACATATGTTGAATAACAACTGATATAAAACTGATGAGTTAATTGACAAGCCAGTATTATTTGACTTTTTCTGACACCATCAGAAATGTAGTCTCTCTTATGCTTGATAATAAACACAGTGTGCATATTCACTCACATCAACAGCTTTTCCATTCCCCTGGAAACACTATACCTTTTTCTGCTTTGAAATCCTTAATAAATCTATCTTGGTGAGTAAATGACTCCCTGGGAGTGTATTGCTTGCATATAAGTGCTTACATCTAAAATAAAGTATATACAATTTTGTAAATGCTGCTTTTTTTTTTCTCCTCCATACTCCAGATAAGACTGTAATAGCTGCCTCCAAATTTGAACCACTCTCTATGCTCTTTGCTGTAGTGTGGTCCAATGTGGTCTCTCATTATCTCTTTTCATGCCTCAACCAAACACAAAAGGAAAGACTGCTAACTCATTTGATAAGTTATTTCCTGGGTTTTCCAAAGCTCTGCAGCTGATTTACTTGGTTAAATCATGTTCATAGCTATCCTTTATAACAATTTAGAAAAGAGACATTTACTCCAACGTGGTGATACTTATTCATGTGATCCCTTTAGAGAAATAAACAAAAAAGGCAATAATCTCTAGAGAGGATTCCAGCTTTAACATCATTAAAGAAGTTTGAGTCCATAAGAACAAAGATTTAGATCTGCAAGGGACTTAAGAGGTTATTAGGTCATAGATTTAGAAGGAAGCAACTGTGAAACACCATGTAGTGCAACCCTCTAATTTTATAGATAAGGATGCTGAGGTCCAAGTAGCTTGGGTAGTCGATCCAAAGCAACATAGATAGCAATCAATCAATAAGCATTTATTAAGTACTTACAATGTATCAGGCAATAAGTAGGAGAGTCTAGAGTTAAACTCAGGTCATCTGACTCTAAATCTGGCTCACAATTTTACTTATCTCAAAGGAGCTATACTTCAAATTTATCTATCTATCTATCTATCTAGAGATATTATTATATTATATAATACAATATATTTTAAATTCTATTATATATTATAATATATGATATTATGTGTGTGTATATCTATCTATCTATCTATCTATCTATCTATCTATCTATCTGTCTATCTATATATGTATTTTGAAGTATAGCTCCTTTGAGATAAGTAAAATTGTGAGCTGGATTTGCAGTCAGAAGCCCTGAGTTCAACTCCATTCTCTCTCTCTCTCTCCATACACACACACACACACACACACACACACACACACACATACACACACATACATATATATATGCACACACACATATATGACAAACCTTATGATAAAATATTATGCACTATACATGGAAGTCTATCAATTCTTATAGTACCTAAATGCATATTTTCATATTTCCTACTGAATCAAGAACAGTATTCATTTTTATATGTACATTTGACAATTTAAACAGTGTCCAGATAAGCGTAAATTAACCCCATATTGCTTAGTTCTTGTCTTCCTGGGAACAATTTATTAAATACTTAATTTTAAGTAAAATGCTACAGTAAATTATATCCCAAGGGCTTGAGAGAGTTAATAATGGAGATGAAAGCAGAATACGGATCAATAATAGTAGTATCATTTACGTTGTGTAAATACAACTTAAATAAATGTCTAATACAAATGAAAATTTAGATTTACAAAACAGGTAAATTTTTTTGAGTTACCTAGATTACAAAAATATTGTTCAGTTTTACAAAATTATCCTTCTTCTCTACCTCTTCATCTATAATCAATCACTGAGTCCAGTTGATTGTTACTTCTAAATATCTTTCAAATTTACTGTGTCATTTTTATTCTCACTGCCACACCACATTTCAAACCTTTATCTTCTCATCCTTCTCATTCTTGGACTACCTGCAATAGTCTCCTTAGTTTATCTGCCTCCTCTCTCTTTTTCTTCCAGGCCCTTCTGCCTACTGCTGCCCGACAAATCTTTATGAAATGTAAAGGTGTCATAAAGTACTTGAGAGCACTTTCCATCTACTCTTATCTTCTCTCTCTCACTCCCTCCCTCCCTCTCTCTCTCTCTCTCTTTCAAATTTATCCAATTATTTTTCACATTTTTTCTCTCATTAGAATATAAGTTCCTTGAGGACAGGGACTATATTTTGTTATCCCTGGTGTTTTGCACATAATAAACAGTTATTAAATACTTAATGACTTTTCCAACACCATTTTCTTCATGTAACTCCCCTCCTCAAAAACCCTGCAATGATTCTACATTCTTACATGATAAAGTCCAGTCTCTTTAGGCTAGCATCCAAAAGCCACCACAATCTTCACTCATTCTCCCTTTTCAGCTTTTTTTTCTATGACTAATCAAACTGGTCTCTCATTGTCTCATGACTGCATCTTGTGCTTTTGCTCATACCTCAACCATACCACTCTTTATCTTTTCTAATGACTTATTTGAATCCTAACCCTCTTTGTCCTTCAAGGCCTGGCTCATATGACTTCTAGGATGTTTTTCCAGAGTAATCTACTCATAATGATTTTTCCCTCCTCTGAAGTCTTACATTATTTCATTTATATCATTCATTTGAAAGTTAATAAGATAAGGATTCATTATTATAGTAAACTATTATTTTTTGTATAGTTTAACTGTTTTATATATTTATATATTATTTCACCAATTAGATTGAAGGCTGTTAAGGACAGGGATCATGCTTTGACATTTCTTTGTATCCCACATAGGATTTTTTTAAAGAGTAAATTTCTCCTAATGACTTAATTTATGTTTTACAAAAGTGTG